ATGACACACGACACTCTGCCTCGCTGCCCTCTAACCTGTGCCTCAGCAACATGGAGGCCCTCCGGCCCCTCAAACACTCCTGCTCCATGAGAGCTGAGGTGCTGCTGCTCCTTGGGTATCTGGCCAGATCCTGAAGCACCTGTCAACAGGTCCATGTCTTCTCACCTTTTCTACAGCCTTCCCCTCCTCCCTCTTCATATCCATTTGTTCTTTCCTTTCCTCTTTCTTTGGTCTTGCCAAGTTACTCTTTAATCAGTTTATTATGCTACTACTACTATTTATTGTTAGTCTTTATGAATTTGGTTGCCACAGCTTTCGACATCTATTACTAATTTCCATCTGCAAGTCTCGTCTTCAGATCCTCGGTGGCTGTACCACTTACCTTCTCCCCGTTGGCTTTGTACGGCTCTCTGACACCTAAAATGTGGGTAGTTCCCCAAACTCTTTAAGCTGAAGACAGCTCAGTCTGGAGAGCACGCTTGCCTCTCACGCAGGAAGCTCCGGGCCCTGTCTCCAGCACCACTAAGCAGAGTGGCAGCACACACTTGTAATCCCAGCACTTTGGAATTAAAGCAGAAAGATCCGACAGTCAAGGTCATCGACAGCTACACAGTAAGTTCCAGGTCAGACTGGACTACATGAGACTCTCTCTCTCAGAAAAAACAACAACAAAAGCAAAACAGAAAAAAAACAACAGAACACCTCTCAGCCTCCTATCTCTAGGGCGATAAGCCTTCACTACCTCCCTTAACCCCAGGCAGGCCTTTCCCACAGCCTGCGCTGGCCACTCTCCCAGCAAGCTTCATGATCACCTCAGTATCTCTCAAAGCTTCTTCCAATCCACCCACAATGAATCACACCCATTCAGCAAAGCCATCTCCCCTTTGCCCAGGCCCCAAACGTGTGTATTATTCCTAGGGTCTCCATGACAAACCCACCTATAAACAGCCCCACGGCTCCGCGGCTTTCTGTCCTTGGTATTCTTGCATTTCCCGTTCCTTTCAGCTTGCCGCGGCTGAATCCTTCCTTCTCTGGCCTGCTCTTCTCACCTGATCGCTGCTTTCCCTTTCACAAGTTCTAGACACACGCTTGCAAGCTAACTCTGGGACATTTGTAGACTGAATGGTAGGAACGTGGGGGCTGTTTCTGAGTCGAAAGCCAAGTTTCCTTGCAGAGATTCCGGGTGGAAGGGTTTGGCCAGCAGGGACGCGGCTGGCGTTTGTCCTCTCAGATGACTGTAACACTAGCATCTTCGGCTGGCAAACCTAGAGCTGATTTTCTTCCATCCTTTATGTCTAATTCTGGTGCTTGTCTTTCTCAAACCACCACTTAACCCCCTATTTTAACAAATCTGCTCGATTTTATTGTAATTCACCCGGAACATCCATCAAGCCCCCCAGCTCCCAGGTCAGCCTTTCTCGCCTTCCTTCCAGCCATTTACCATGAAGACAAATTTAGAAAGCATGGCTGTGTTTCTCGTTTTCAGTAAAGCTTATTTTGACTACTAGATCGTGACTCTAGGCAAACAGCGGTCTGGCCCTGGGCCTCTTGCTCCTAAGATAAAGTCTGGCTTAGCCGACCACTCAGTTTCTTTCTGCAGGAACATTAAGATTCCGTGATGACTTTTTCAAATAGCTCTTAGATTACCAGCAAGTGGTGCTGCTAGGATATATTGCTAACTAGCTAGTTCAAAACAGTCCTGGCTTTCTATTGGCTTTTGCAGTTAGAATTATTAGCATGCCTAGTATGGAGTTACCTACCTGACAGATAACATCAATTTAAGGATGCAGAAAAGGACCCTTGATGTAGCTTTTGATTACTGCTGTCCCAACACACTCAGATAAAACGGTAAAGACCCACCACCCAAGTCCACACCAAGCTGCCGTTGCTTCTTGCCAGCGTATGAACCTGTCTGGTCTATGATCACCACAGAAGCCGTAACAGGACAAACACAGGCTCAGCTTGAAGCTAATTTTAATGTTACCGCATGAAAAATAACCATGGCAACAAAGCCATTTGTCGCTTGTTCTGGACACCTGAGCAAACACATGGGGAAGACGGGTCCATTTCTTAACTCACAGTCAAGTATATTAACTGTGAAGCAAAGACTGATAAAAAGACAGACAGTGAAGGCGACGTGCAGCCAGAAGGCAGCGAAAGCTGCAAAATGAAGGGAAAACACTATACCACACGAAAGAGTCCTGGCCAGTCTCCAGACATCACAAACGTGTGCCTTCGGAAGCCAGGGCTTTGCTTCATGTCAAGTGGAGACAGCAGGTTACCTGAGTCGGTTCCAAGAGTGCCTGATAAAGTCACCCCAGCAGCCCTTTGACACAGTGCAGGTCCCTTTCCTGGAGAGTCTTCAGAGCAGGCTTGACCTACGACCTAGACCTATGAATTTTAAAATGTTTAATGGGCAACCTGTGTGCCCTGGTGCCCCCACCCTATGCACCGAAGCATGTCCCTGCCCATCCCCCATCGAACACACGGTAAAATAAAATCGCCTTTTGAAGAGGTATACACCGGGACCCATCTGTAGCTTTAACATTCTACTGTGCATGAATACGGGCTGGCAATCAGAGCCTATGACAGTTACTGTCAGGTACATCGATGGGCATTTTAATTGTATTATACTCGTGAATTAGGGATGGTGGAGAACAGGTCTCGACTATCACTTGGCCAAAAGAAGAATTTAAGTTTGTAAGATGCTTAAATATCCTCATGCCCCTAAAAACAACAACGAGAAAAGCACAGTGGGTAAGCTGGAGGCTCATCTGGACACCTCTGATTCAGTAACTGGTATGTTCCAAAAGGAGTCGGTGTTTGTATAGTTTTATATAAAATCTGCCACAAACTTCATCACTTTATTTTTTAATGGAAAGGTAATTTCAAAATAAAATAAAGCCTCTTGTTTTAATGTTTCTTGATAAATATTTTTTCCCCCTCTAGACTCAGAAAGTAGAAATTTTCAATTGGGTATTTGTGTTCAACTCCAAATCAGGATAAAAAAAACAAAAACCCTAGGTGATTAGCTTTCCTTTCCGTTCCCACTAAAGACCACTGTTTTTAAGTCACAACTAGAGTGTTCTGTGGAGCGGACTGTATTTACAGATTCACCTTAGGCCCTCATAGCACGGCTATTTCCCCTTCCTGCTGGGTTACATCTTATAAGCTTTGGTACAGGAAATCACTCAATTCAGAAATCCCACATGGCTTCTGCGATTCACAATTAAATTATCTAAATAGTAAGTCTTTAAAATTTAAAAATACACCAGAAATGAACCATTTGCTCCATACTGAGCCAGCACCATGAGTGGTTGGTACATCTGTGATCCTAGCACACTGGGGGCTGAGGCAGGGGGGTTAGAAGCTCAAGGCTAGCCTGAGCTACATGTGTTTTGTTTGCCTTTCGTTTTGTTCTTTAAAAAGGCATCCAGCATGCCATGGGTTCCCGTTGAAGTAGAACGGCCAAGTGTAAGAATGAAAAGCTCGGGCCGTGTGCCCAGCGTGCCCTTCCATGCCAACATCACCAAGTTCATGGCAGTGGTCAGGGTTAGTTAGGTGCAGAAGCTCAGGCCTCCAGAACTTACCAAGAGACATCCCAGAGGAGGCTGTCTGGTCTATGAAGCGTCAGATCTGTGCTTTGCCAACCTGACAGACTTGTCAAGAGGGCCCAGCTGCTAACCTATGCCACTTCTGAGCAGACTGGCGTTTACAGAGAATGAACTCCAGACACGCACTAAGCCACCTACAGCTGGCGCTAACCCTAGAGCATACAGCTGGCGCTAAAACCCTACTTACATACAGCATGCTTTCCCCTGAAAAGGTCTCAACTGCTTTCAGACTAGGCCAATGCTTCTCAGTCTGGTTACAGCTCAGGTCCTAATTCGCGCTACACAGTCTTACAGGGACGGAAAAAGCCAGAGCTTTGAGCAGCCTGCTGCTGACATACTTCAGTAAAGCTCCAGCTCAAGAAAACACTACACACTAAGACACCAGTGAAACGAATACGCAAGTTCATATTTTGAAGTACTACATATTTCAAAGTAGTCTTTGAACACAAACATTCATTTAAAATTTCCCCTTGCGGGCCGAGCTGAGAAAATATTTTAACTATAAAATATCATGCCAAGCAGCAGCTTTAGTGACCTAACAGAAAAGTACTTCAAGTTTCTCCAGAGTACACCTCGACTGATGACAGGAAAGCTTAGCTATGAAGAACACACAAGAAACCACAGGACAGGAAGCTGGGTGGCTTCTGGTGCCCTGGGTTTGAATTACCACCATCCTCTTCTCAAAAGCAGACCAGGTCAGTGACCTGATAAGACAGGTCTACAAACAAAACAAGATGCAAAAGTCTATCAGACCTCACGACTCCAGGTCCATAGTCACTTTACTAGCCCCAGTAATTAGACATCAAAAGACATCAAAATCTTGTTTTCCCATGTGAAGTTTCAGGCCTTCCAGGACACAGAACGGAACTGGGTAGCGTCCATCGAAGGGAAAGGCTGCCACAGGAAGCTTCCTGGACAGCTCTCTGGCACATGAGCTTTCTTTGGCTATCCTAATTCCTAATTATGGAAAAGTTTGTAAAAATGACAGTTCCAGAGGCTCTTGGCATGTTTACATTACTAAATCGTTTAAGCCCTACTGTTGGAAACTAATCTCTGAATGGCCATAGAGTTAAGATAAACACTTTATAAAAAACGTAGTTTTGCCTCATCTCAAGAAACTATCAACAAAACCCATACTTACAAAATAAAGCGGGGACATTAATCTTAAACAAATAAACAAACAAACCCCTTTACTTTACAAAAGTAACTCACTTGAGTATTTGATGAAGCAATCCAGACCATAAAATTCTGACTAAAGGACTTTGCAGGAAACATTCTGTTTCAAACTTGAAGGCACCTGTGCCTTTAAGTCTGAAAAGGTTAAATCAAGTTCCATTTGATTTAATTTAGCAGTACAGGCTAAAAAACAAAAAACGATGAACTCGAGACAGTTTCATTAACTGATATATTTTCTCCATTGTAGTTAACATATATGTACTTTATGTACTTTCTTTGAGTCACCTTGTTTTTCAGGAAGTAGTGATATGTTATAATCAGACATGAGTATATTTCAACAGTCTTTTGCAATAAATATCATAAAATAATAGAGATTCGCATAATAAATATTCTTTACAATAAAAAAAGTTTAACAGACTTTTGTCTTAAAAATAGCCAGGATTCAACTTTATGATTTATACATATAATATACAAAAAGCACCACAACTTGTGGTTAAGGCAATGAAAACACAGGAAGGATTGGAAATACCCAGCTGTTAAGAGTCAAAAGGCCAGTCAGAGGCCAAAGGCACCTTACGGAGCTGTAGCTCTGAGAGGCCCAGGGGCGGATCAGACAGGAATTTCAACTACAGTTACCAACAGCCCTCGGTGAAGAGGGGGTGGGAAGGGAAGGAAGGCCTTCACAGACAGGGGCGCTAGAGGTGGAACAAGGATTAGCCACCATCATCTCTAATGTGAAGACCAACGCTGCAGAGGGAATCCAGAACTATGACCAAAAAGGGGCGGTAAGGAGGGATGACCCATTGGCATCTCCAGAGTGCATTGTGGGGAGAATCCGAGGGCTGCTGGAAGGGGAGGGCAGTGAGCTGCTGCCGAGCGAACTGTGTTCTAAGAAGTAGACCCTCCCATTGGACTTGGGGATGGGAGGCTAAGATAGCTCTCATCAGAGGCAGATTAATATATAGCTTATTTAAGCACTTACATGGTTACTTTTTAATAAACCAAACCAAGTCCCTGATCCCACAGTACCCGACCCCAAACATCTCTCAGCCAAGTCTGGGCGTGCATACATCCTCACAGACACAGTGGGAAGGCTGATGCAGCACACAAAGGCTCCAGAGGCACTCCCAGCTCCCAGAACCCTTGAGGTGGGGTGGGAGCAAGCTGGGTGCAGTTTCACAGTTCACTCCTACTGAGGAGCATCAGAGACCGACGGGAAGAAATACCACGTTTCTTAACAGCCACAGTTGGAAGCTGGACATTCAGGTCTAATCCACCTCCAGAAATCATGACGGCTTGCCCTGAGCCCTTGAGGGACAGCTCTCCAGCTTACAATAGACAGTGTTGGAGTTTCTACACCGGCAGCCAGGGCGGTGGGTCCAGTCATAACAACCCCTGCACAGCTTCAGGCAGCCCTTGGCGGGAGGGTAGCAGAGCAAGCAGGGGAGGCATAAAGACAGGGCTCCCATGCATAGATATCGGAAACAGCAGTGGGACTGTGAACAGGAGCACGGGTTATCTGAGTAGGAGCCCCCATCGTCATCATTGGAGCAGTGGTAGAAAATGCCCTTGACCAGGCACATGCAGGTCCCATATTCCACCATGCTCTCAGCCGAGCAAAGGCACTGGCGGTTGCAGGCCAGGCAGGAGGGCAGAGCCCGAGGGGCTGTACACTCTCCACACTTGCACTTGCCACACTGTTCGCAGATGAACTTGTGCTGGGTGGGGTCCTCTTTCAAGGAACCCTTCAAGTCATCCACAAGCAGCTGCTTGGGTTGGGTCCGGATGACCCTATCTGACCTATGACCGGGGATGGGCCTGGTGGGCGGAGACCTTCCCAACAGGCCCTGCTCAGAAGTCGCGCTGCTGCTACTGCTGCTCCCTGAACTGGCTGCGCTTCCGGTGCTGGTCGACCTGCTCAACACCGAGCCCCTGGCAGTGCCGGAGTGGCTGGCAGGTCGGTGCTCGTAGCTGTGGTTCACATTGGCTGGTATGATTTCATGAGTCCTTTCCTGCTTTTCGGGTCTCGGTGCAGTGCGAGGAGCCGGTCTTCTCACCACTGAAGGTCCCTCTGTGTATTCATTGCTGCCTCTGATGGCCTTGATCTGGTCCAGGGACAGAATCGCGGCAGGCTGAGTGTCCCTGTCACAGTCTAACCTGTGCCGCCCTTCCAGAACCGGTGGCTGAATCACCACTAGCGAAGTGTGGCTGCCATGCTGGCTTGGGGGATCCATGTGGAGTGATCTCCAATTCCGGCAGTCAGCAGAAACCTGGCATGCATCGGAAATCCTAAAGAAGGATGAGAGAGAAAATAAATGAGAAAGCATTTGGGGTTGGGGGCTCCCATCAAGTAACAAATTGCCCAAACCACCTGGTAATGATCGCCTCCATCGGCTGATTTCAATGATGCAGAATCCTGGCAGGAGTCCAACTCCAAAAAAGATTGTAGAGGACCACATCACAGGAAGCAGGCAAGCAAAAGACCTCATGCCATAAAAATTAAAAGTTGTTCTCCAGCTTCTAAAAAGCAGAGGAAGTCATGTCTTCCTGTTTGCAAACCTAACAAATAATTAAAATGAAATATGCCTTCGAAGGGAGCATTCAGTGTGCACCCTGGAACTGTTCTCGGAGAGTTCACAATCAGTTCACTGGCAGTTCACGTAGGGAAAATGTCAGCTACTTTTCAACGATTAAGAATGGCTTTAGTGCTGTGGCCTCTTGGCCATTTGTACGCTGTTAAGAGCTTTAGATTAATGAGAAAATTAATCAAAGCAATTTCCAAAACACTGAAGATATTCCGAGCTCACGTGGAATCTCAAATGGCCGTTTTCGGCAGAGTCAGGATCTAAAGCTCATCACTGACCTGTGAGATAAGAAAAAGAATCTACAAGGAATGAAGAAGGCTGCGGCTCTGGCTGTCTTCCTGGCACTGGGACACACACACACACACACACACACACACACACAAACCTGAGGTTTAAGTTTCTTGAAAGGTTAAACAAGGCTCACTCACGTAACAAGAACAACTTTTATGCACAAGCCTGTAGAGCAGGGGAAGGAACCCTGGTCTTTCTGCATTATCTTTATTTCCTTCCATTCATCTACACGGCAGACCTTGATTTTCAACAAGCCCTGAATCGACCTACTTTTTGTGATAAAATACACTAATATCTTGAGACAACGAACACATTTCCACATCAAGAAATAATTTCCAATGTATAACGTATTCTTCCTAAAACAGACCAAACGCTGAACGTTTCCGTTTCTGGGCAGTGGGCATGTAGGATATTTTTCACACAAATGCCCTCCAAACCCACAGAGGCACCCTAATTCAAGACGACACCCCTCTGCAATTTCCCAGTGCCAATAGAAAAAAGTCTCAAGGAGAGACAGCTTGCTACGGATGCTAACTAATGTTCCCAGACTACATATGTATTAGCTTCTTGGGGGCCCTCTAGTTTATTCTACCTTCTCCTCACACGAGAAACATCCGTGACAACAGGCTTTAGTGCCGAAGTCCTAAACGATACTGGAAAACGGCCAATCGTTACTCCCGTGACCTATCTATTTTTAAAAATTTAAAACTCCAAAACGAAGACTTTAAATGTGCCAAGTCTCATCCACAAGAAAGGAAGACGTGGGAATGGCTTAAGTAATGAAACCCCCAGGCATGCCTTTAATTCGCATTTTACAGGGCATTCCCAAGCAAGTTCGCTCTGGCGGAGCACCTAGGCGCCCCGCACCCGCCCAGGGAGAAGCTGGTGCGCGCAGACAGCACTGTGGGCAGCACCGCCGGGCTCTTGGGCCCCGCGCCCAGGCCTCAAGGGCACGGAGCGGCGGCGGGTCCGGCCGGGGAAAGTTATGAATGAAAACAGCTCGCGGGCGGGAGGAGGCAGCGCCCTCTCCCCGCGTCCAGAGGCACTGCGCTCGGAGCACAGGCGGGCGCTGGATCCCCAGCGCCATCGGGTGCCGCGCGCTTGGCACGGGCTGCTCGAGGACCGCCAGGATCGCCCGGTCCGCCCCGGTCCGCCCCGGCCCGCACCTGCCGCCCGCACTCACCTCGGCCTCCGCGGCGCCGGCCCGGGGCGCCGAGCGGGCGGGGTGCGCGCCGCATCAAGCGCGCCGGGGCGGCCGGGCGCTCATAGCCCGCGCTGCGGCCTCGGCGGCCCCCGGGCAGGGGCACTTCTCCGCGGTTGGCGGCGGCCGAGGGCGGCTCCGGGACATCCGCCGGGTGCGCGCGGCGCCCGCTCCACAGCACCGTCCCGTCTCGGTCGTCAGGCGCGCGGCCCGGCGTCGTCCCGGGCGCTCGGGTCCCCGCAGGTCCGCGTCCCCGCAGTCGCCACGCCGGCTGCAGACGAGCAGAGACAGAAACACGTGAGTCCCTTGCCAGCCCGGGACTCTGTCCTACTCGCCGCGATGGGCTGCCACGAGCCGGGGACACACGCGGCCGTGCACGTTTGGCCCCCCACGGAATGCCCAGCAGTCAAAAGCGCGTCCGAGCGGTGCGTCTGCTCGAGGCAAACCCGCATTCGGGAACGGGAAAGTCAGGTCTGGCACAAGCGCCCGGCGGATCGGTCGCCAACAATGCGCACAGACACGCGGGTGCGCTGCGATGCCAGCCCGCGTCCGCACACGCGGAACTCGCTGCCCGGCTACGGGAAAGCGAAAGAAGCCAGCTCTCCAGCTGTAGGGCCGACCGCAGAGCGCCGGGCACCGAGCTAGAGCCAGCTCCGAAAACGTCCAGGTCCTTGAAAATCAAAAAGCACCATTCTCACCTGATCTCGCCAGGTCCTCGGGGGGAGGGAAGGCTCTTGCCTAGTGCAGAGCCTAGGGCCGGCCTTCTCGGCACATGCACGCCGCCCGCAGCCGCTCCTCAGCCCGCAGAGCTCTGGCTGCGGGGCCACCGCAAACTCCTGCGTGCTGAGCACTCGCGCGCGGGCTCCGCAGCATTTCAGCGTCGCCGCCACCTCCACCTCCACGCTGGGACCCGCCCCCGGTGATATCATGTGTCAATCACGCGGGCTGCACGAAAACCCGGAGCAGGATTCTAGCGATCGTGGATGTGGACTCGAGGACATTAAAAAAAAAAAAAAAAAAAACCGTTGCCTGCGAGCGCAACTGGGCAGGAACTGAAGTTCCAGGGCCCCTGATAGTCCTTGAGCTGTCAGTCTCCAATTTTAGAGAACCGGTGGATTCAGCCCTAAAAGATTAGTTAAAAGAGTTGTGAAGAACATTAAAAAAAAAATAACTTGCACACTACTCCACCGTGCCCCAGGAAGAGGGAAAATGTGTGATACAGAAAGATGGTAACAGCGAAGTTCAGAGCATATGAAATATGAAAGTTCCAGAAAGGACAGTCAGTTTTGCAAATGTAATATAATGACACCACAGGGTGGGATTTCCTGCTATGGGATCTTAGTGATGGCTCTGTTTTGGTTTGTGATATGATCCCAAAAATTACATGAAAAAAAAAATCCCAAGTTCTTCCTGTTTTGTAATGTTTGTATAATTTTGTCAAAAACAACAACTTTTTAAAAAATCAACTAAAAGCCGAGTAAAATAAGCGTAACTCATGAAGAAGTTTTAGTTTTAATCATATTTTGTCACAGGGTAGGGGAATGCTTTTTGCTTTTTTACAAACTGTGGGATTTTGGACATTTATTATTGGAAGATGTAGCTCAGGATGCAGTGAAAAGAACTGTATGTGGAACTAAAAATTCCATAGAGGGTTTTTAAAATAGCCTAAGACCCCAAAAATTGTTAATAGGAAATATTTTCCCAGGGAACTGTATCAGGAATAGTATTTGACAAACAACAAAACTCCAGGGTCTAAAACATCCGTGAATGTGAGTTTGGCTATTTTGGGCTCAAAGTAATTTTTTAAAGCCTTAGCAATTAGCAGTGGGTTTTTAAAAACTGTTCTTTTGTTGATGTTTGCATACTTCATTTTCAAGATTTAAGTGCTTTTAGAATTCACAGTTGTGTGTAGAATTGCATGTAAGAAATCCAGGACACTCCCTGCAAAGAGTACCATCAATAAGAACGTCCACTAGAGGATAATAGAACATACTGAAAGCCAAGAAGCTGTCTGTTCACCCTTCATACTAGGAAATGTGTTAAAGTCATATTTTCAAGTGTAAAATTGGTGGGGATTTTGTATCTTGTCTATTTTTCCACAGATGATCAATGTATTGAGGCTGGACAGCAGCAAGTCTGTTTCTTGTGGCTGGACTGGAAGGGTCAAAGCAGAAATACAGCGTCATACCAGAATGTTTTTATTCAGCTCTTCCCAGTTGTCTGCACAAATTTGGGAGAGAGGTCAGTTCACCAATGTGATAAAATAAGGACAGGGAGCAGTGAGCAGTTTTAATTACAAAACATTTATAAAAATATAATTTCAAAGATTAATTAAAATACACTTCAGAGTATTTCAGCCAGAGATGTGCTAAAACAAATTTCCTAAGTTTAAAAAAAATAAATAATCTATGAAATGTTGTCGAGAATACTATCAGCATGGGTCATGTTCTATTTCAAAATCGAGTATGTTGCACAAAATTGGTTCTGCTTCTGCGTCACCCTGTGTGCCTCTCCCATGTCACATTCCTAGTGAGGATCAAAGTGGCCTTGCCGCCTTGAATCTGGAAGACATTTAATGAAGTCTGCTTCACTTTTTATTCCTGCAGTCATAGGATTTGAGAGAAATTACAAATTTTTAGCTCGAAACAGACCTTGCTTTTTATTTAGTAAACTTAATTGCAGTGAGTTTAGTCTAGGAATAAACAACTGGTGTAGGAAACGTTTTTGAAAAAGAGGATATAAGGGTCAGTGGGGAAATCGCAGTAATTTCTAGTTCCCTGTATTAGGATCTGTCTAAATGGATTCGGGTGGGAAGGGAGGCCCAGCTCGTCCTTCAGTGTCATGGGAAAACACAATTAGCCATCTCTTTTGTTGAAAGAGAATAAAGTGACAAACTCATCTGGCAAATGCTTCAGAAGTGCTGGTGACTTCAAAGAAATTAGAGTACTCAAAGACTTGTTGATTTATTTATTTGCCCAAATAAAAACATCAGAGCCATTGTGTGTGTGCATCCAGGCTGACAAGCAATACCTTCTACATTTCCTAGTATTTAGTCAGAAGTTACGTTATTAATGGTGAAATTAACTGTATTATCATTCATAGCCTTGCATCCTGTTGAGAAACAAACTTGAAACCAAAACATCACAGAAGTTGACGCATTAGCGGACTCAAGTCCATTGATAAGGAGCCAGTAATGGGAATTTTCTTTCCTTTCCTTTTAGGGCAAAAATCACTATTACTGAGAGTTCTCAGAGAAGCTGCAAGGATGGGTCGTGTTATTTTCAGCTTCCTTTTGTGAACAGCCTTTGTAGAAGACAGAAATAGACTAACCTAGTCTGTAAGATTTCCATAAACATTCCCCTCGTTTTCAGAAGCATAGTTCTCGCCCTCTAATACTCTGCCCGGTTTTCAATTCCGGAAATGGGAGAAATGAAGTCCTGCTCTGAGTAAATGACACCGACTGCTCCAGAGTCTCGGTCCCACTGCGTCCTTGGTCCCAGTGATTTGGCTGTTCTGAGCTAGAGCCCCTCTCTTTGTGTGCAGGTGCATCCACGTGACAAGGGTTCACACAGAGCCACCGTTCACACAGGAAGCGCCTCTGCCTCAGTATAAAACAGGCATTTCTTACCTAGCCAATGGCACACAGAATCCTGACGCCTGGCCTGGCTCCCTCTTCGTTTTCCTAAGAAAGCAAAAGGAGCCATTTCTTCTGCCCTTCTGACTTGGAATGAGCAGCAAAGGGTCCTTAAAGTGGTGAATGTGTCTCTTCAATCCTGGTCAGCAACAGTCCTAATCTGAGCACTCCCCACCACCTTCATCATCACAGATGGGGAGCACTCCCCACCACCTTCATCATCACAGATGGGGAGCACTCCCCACCACCTTCATCACAAGTGGGGAGCACTCCCCACCACCTTTATCATCACAGATGGGGAGCACTCCCCACCACCTTCATCATCACAGATGGGGAGCACTCCCCACCACCTTCATCATCACAGATGGGGAGCACTCCCCACCACCTTCATCATCACAGATGGGGAGCACTCCCCACCACCTTCATCACCACAGATGGGGAGCACTCCCCACCACCTTCATCATCACAGATGGGGAGCACTCCCCACCACCTTCATCATCACAGATGGGGAGCACTCCCCACCACCTTCATCACAAGTGGGGAGCACTCCCCACCACCTTCATCATCACAGATGGGGAGCACTCCCCACCACCTTCATCATCACAGGTGGGGAGCACTCCCCACCACCTTCATTACAGATGGTGAGCACTCCCCACCACCTTCATCATCACAGATGGGGAGCACTCCCCACCACCTTCATCATCACAGATGGGGAGCACTCCCCACCACCTTCATCATCACAGGTGGGGAGCACTCCCCACCACCTTCATTACAGATGGGGAGCACTCCCCACCACCTTCATCATCACAGGTGGGGAGCACTCCCCACCACCTTCATCATTACAGGTTTTGAGCACTCCCCACCACCTTCATCATCACAGGTGGGGAGCACTCCCCACCACCTTCATCATCACAGATGGGGAGCACTCCCCACCACTTTCATCATCACAGATGGGGAGCACTCCCCACCACCATCATCACAGGTGGGGAGCACTCCCCACCACCTTCATCATCACAGATGGGGAGCACTCCCCACCACCTTCATCATCACAGATGGGGAGCACTCCCCACCACCTTCATCATCACAGGTGGGGAGCACTCCCCACCACCTTCATTACAGATGGTGAGCACTCCCTACCACCTTCATCATTACAGGTTTTGAGCACTCCCCACCACCTTCATCATCACAGATGGGGAGCACTCCCCACCACCATCATTACAGGTGGGGAGCACTCCCCACCACCTTCATCATTACAGGTTTTGAGCACTCCCCACCACCTTCATCATCACAGATGGGGAGCACTCCCCACCACCTTCA